ACTTACATAAGCTATACGCTGTAAAATGATATGTTTATTTTATAATTTTACAAATTGACGTAACTTGAGTTAAGCTCAATCGTGCAATTAAATTTCCTATTAAAATGAGATGGTATTAGAAACTGACTTATGCCACTCCGTGATATTGAATAGCAACCTTTTTTAACTACTAAAATTGACTTAACTCAATTTTCGTAATTTCTGAGATACGCCACTTCGTGTTATTGGCGGCGACGTATACGTTGCATTGATTCATCTTCTCTGCATTTTTATTCCGAAACTTCATACAAATATAGTAGTAATCGATCGAATGATGGAAGAGTTTTAGCAAGTTTGAACATCTACAATCTACATGAGAGAACTCCAGAATTGTAACTGATTTCACTTTAGAAACAGTATTATCTTGTTTGTGATACTTAGAGCAAGGTCATCACCATTTATTATCAAAATATTCAGCAATATCCGATCACTTTCTGGTATATAGATGGATTAACAACTCGGTTGAATAGCGAGGAAAATGAGTGATACTGTTTCTGCTGACGATTATTTTTTCGAATAAAATTCAAAGGCGCTTAAGATTTTTAACAATGTGATGTGCAAGAAATATTTTTTATCTTTAGATAGTTAGCGTTTTAGTCAAAAAAGGGAAAATACTACGCAAGTATAAATAATTTAAGTGAAGAAAACTACCCCCGCTTAGGACAGACAATTACCGGATGGCATGGAAAATTTTGAAACAGTCCAGTCGTAGGAAGTTTCGAGATCGCAAGCCAAAACAAAAATCAGTCGTGATGAATATTTTTATTAGCTATCCGGTTCAAAGATGCTGGTTAATATCAAATCCCCTAAAAAAGTATTGAATTTTTTTTGTCTTTTCAGAAATATGAGCATTGGAACATATACACGAACACGAAAGTTACCGAAACCCACAATTTAAAAAATCGAACTTACTAGTCGGGGTTTTCAACGAACTCAAAGTGCTGGATTAATGAATATGCAAAAAATCATAACCTCCAAATAAATCCTCCAAATTCAAAAGTGATTATTTTTTCGCCTAAACCTTTTAGAAATCCTGTTAAAAGCAACTTATATGTTAGTTTAGTAGGTACTACTATCGAAGTTAATGAAGCAGTCAAAACTTGGGAATTCTTTTTGATGAGTGGCTCAAGATCATATCTGATGTACACAAAGTTACTTAAAACTGCTTTCTGATCTTACGTCAATTATATCTAAATAAGGTAATTCTCGATTATCAAACTAAAAAAATCTTATGCGAATCAATAAACATGTCCAAAATGTGATAGGTATAGTTTACAATCCATTTTTAGATACAATATCTCTTTCACGTTTACTAAAAAATCCAAAATTCATGTTTGAGACTAGTAATTTGAGAAAATATGACCATGTAAACGGTTTTTTGAGAGACCTGGGATGGTTGAAGGTGAGACAGCTACATGCGTTACACCTATTAACTTACACTCATCAGCTCTTGCTTACTTCTATTCCCTAGTTACTAAGGGAAAGTTTACCTCTCGAGTTATTTCCACTCAAGAGACATACAGATTACTGAGACACTCACAATCACTCTTCTTATTCTTTCATAAGTGCTTCACATATAACGCGGATACACTTTATAGGCATTAAAATCACTAAATTACAATTCATCTAAAAAACAAATTAAACAATTTATTTTAGAAAAGAACTCACCGGAATAGTTTGAACGGGCGAAGTTAGCAAAGTTAAAAAAATAGCGGCTGTACGCTATCGTGGAACATTTTTTATAGAATAGGAAATCAGTTTGCTGTTGCTTATCAGTCCTTTATAATCCCAGAATATGATTTGTCTAGCATTTCAAAGTTGAGCGCTTTTGCAAATTGAATCGCTTATAACTCAACAAAACGCTCGAGTATGGTATAACACTACACTTTTGGAAGGCTCTGCAATAAAATATGAGACAAATAATTGATAGCTTTTGACATTTTTTTCAAATGGATTGTTCTGTTTTATTACCTTTTGAAAAGATCGTTCCATCTTGTCTCAATTCATTAAGCAAATTGCAAGCAAAAGTAACGAACGTGCAACTTCACACTGAAATCATTTAATAAGATATACGGTGACAAATGTCCAGCATCCATTCACAAACACAAAATATCTCCTTTAACAATCTGAGCATCTAAAACTATGACTTATTATTTATTTCTTTACATTGACTGCCTTTTTCATATACTTTTCATAATCGTATGATCTAGCTTTGCAATTTTTGTTAAAGTGATTCGCTTTTCTGCCAGTTAGAACCTCAGTAATTTTTGGGCAAAAGGCCCCCGGCCTACCCTGATGAGTAGAAGTCAAGTCAAGTCAAGATCGTTCCAAGAGAAGATGTAACACATAGCGTTTAGATAATTAGTTCTTTAGTTATTTGCGGTTCATAGTACAAAGACGCTAAATATTGACAAACAATTTTATAACTCTGAATTTCAGTTTTCTACCTTGACGTGCTATAAGAAATAAAGCACGTTTTTTTTTCGTTTCTCCAAGAAAAAGCTTATGCCTAGCCAAACAAGAGGGATTTCATGAAACTTATCAGTCATCTTACAGTCATCTGATCCTTAGTCGTTGATTGCACATTTATTTTATGAAGGACCCTTGAGCTGAATAAAATCGAAAGTAACACCACACCCTCAAAGGGTTTCTTTTCTGCCCGCCCCTGAGCTTAATCGCCATTTTCCAAACGAATTGGCAGTGAAGTGCCAGCAAAATTGCTGATGTTGCTTTTGTTTTGTGTGCAGTGGAAGTGAAGAGACGTCTTCCTGCTCGAGTGATACTATCCTCAGACATTACCAGATCAATATTCATATATTTTTGGTAATAACTATATTTTCACACTTTGATAGTCGGATAATCTGTGAGTTCTGTTTGATAACAGCCCCAGTATAGGTCGATGCTAGAATAGTATTAATTATGTTTGCAAAACTACTCGTATAACTCTATACATGTGAGTATTCAGAGCTGTACTACTATTTGTTAACAAGTTACGAAAGAAAGGAAAGAAGAAATGTACAAAAATGCATTTTCTGACGAAAAATTGATAAAATTGTTTTTTAGTTATCTCTATTCGCTGCTCCAAACAGGTAGTTGGTACAAAACGACATGCGACTTTAAATACCATGTAAGTAGGTCTAGTTTCCTCAGACAATGTTGTGAGTCTCTGATATTGAGTAAAATAGCTCACTGCAACATTGTATATGATCCCTGTCTAGACGAAATAACAAAATGCTGGCTGTAAAAAAATCAACCTACATGCTCCCGTCATATAAACAATTTACGAAGGTACGATCTCGTTTCTCACTCAATAGCTTCCATGTTCTGGTTAAAGATATCCGATATGTGTAAATACAACTTTGTCACATTTGTCATTAAAATATTAAAAAACTCAGGTTGTTTATAGGAATCTGATTCACAGTATTAATGGTCGTTGTTCATAGTTCGCCATTTGAAAGTGTGGAACTAAATGAATTTATTACAATAAACTCGATTGAATTGAAGTGGATTTGACGATTCTCTCACGATGGAAATATAAACCGGTTTGATAGAATGGAAGTGGCAAATGTGGTCTTTTAATAAAAAGACGAGCTTAGTACTAATGAGGAGCTGAAGGCAAAATTTCAAAAAGGCTATCAACAATTTGAGCAGCAGGCAGAAGTACCCGAAAAACATTATGAATTCTGGGAAATTGTGAGAAAATTTTAGTGTTGTTACAAATCTACATATTAACAGAAAAAGGAGCATATTGAATATTGCAGACCGGATAGTTTTGCATTTATTCCTTACAAAACTGAAGCCAAACATAATATATATATATATATATATAATAATTTGCTGTCAGACCAACTAGTACATCCCTTGCATTAATATTCTGAATTATTATACACCTAAAAATACTATTTTTGGAGCTGTTATTTTGGAAGGAATGTGGAATATCTATTTAGAGCTAGACACTCTTATTGTCGCTTTTCATATCTGATTTATTAAATTACATATTGTCTCTCATCTACGTTGAAATATTCACATACACTTTTAATAAAAATATTTCGCGTATTATATAACATTGCTAAACTTTTAGGGAAACACTAATACACACATTAGCTCAAAGTCACACAAAGGAAAAAGGTTTTTAACTTTCTAAAACTGATCTTTCTGAAAGACTGGCTTAAAAATGAGGTGTCCAGATAAACATACTAAAACCCCTCGACTATGGACGGTGATCCGGCGGCGGGAGAAGGGGGGTGGAAGAATTAATCATATGTTCATAATTTCTTCTACATTAATATCTAATCTCAAATAAATTTACAACGAATCATGTCATATACATTTTACTGGTATGACAACAATGAAATTAATTTGGTTAGTGATACGACTAATTAATTAATTTTGAATGAACTTCTTTACATATAAAGTGAGTAATACTGTTGTGCAACATAACACCGTGAATTTTTTGAAAAAAATTCATGTAAGATGCGAAAGTATTACAACTGTACAGCGGGTAAACAGAAAACAAAATTGTACTGTTCAAGAAAGTACAAAAATTACATATATTTCGTGCACGAAACGACTTTTATTTAAAAAAGTTTACGAAAACCACAAATATCAGTGTGGCATCTAACAAAATGGTAGAGTTGTCGCAGTTAAGCGATCTGATACTAAATAGCTAATATCCTAAAACTCTTAGAATCTAATGAACGTTACATCAACTTTCTCGAAAACAGTTAAATATTAGGGCCTCAACTTTGGTATTTACTTTAATAATGCGACGCCTTGTATATTAACGCAAATTTTTAAGATATACGGTGTCAGATTTAAAACAGTGTTAGTCTAGAAGCAATATGACACTTATAGCCACTTATTGGCCCTCCCTGTATAGATCACCTTCATGCAATATATGAGGCATTTTTAAATTCTACTTATACGCTCGTTGCATGCCATGAACAATGATAAAAACTTACCAAAGACTCTGAAAGCAAATCAATACATGAAACAATCGACGGTTCATGCATGCTGTAGTCATTTCAATGTTTATTCAATGCCGCCTTGATTGAAAATGAGAAAACCGCGCGAAGGAAACTTAACAGTGTAATAGTATTGCAAGTGGATTGCGACTGCGCTAAAACTTTCGAATGTGCAGCCAGTAAGTTGGGAGCTGCGGAGACATGCGTTTGGAGTTGACAGAGGAGTTGGGGAACTGATTTTGTTCGATGGAAAGAAAAGGGGTAAAGTTTGATTGCTTCTATGCGCGGAAACACGACGGCACGGGCGAGACAATTTATCCAGTAACAAAAAACATCGCTGATAGAATTTAAAGTGAAGTTAGGGAGAGTTAAAAATTTAATCCATAACGTACAAGAAAATTTTATTAGCAAACTTCTTAAGTTAACTACATATTCACCTATGATACGGATGGTTAAATTGTACACAACGTCGATTGTACTCTTTGAGCTACAATCCGACTCTGGTTTGTTTCACGGGAAGGGTATAGAATCTTTGAAAAAAAAACATTTTTTAACTTGTGGTTGCATGTACAAATGGCGGAGCGAGGTTCTAGCAAAAGTTATAAAGTAGAAGATATAGCGAGTTCTTATAAACTTTTACACCACAGAAATGTGCTTTTGTACTTCTCAATTATAGGGGTCATCCGGTAGGGGGTGGTTTAGTTTATTAACGGCTCTGAAATCTTGAAGAAAATCCTGGATACGAAACACATTTGAAGTTTGAGAATCCTATCTGTTCTTTCCAACAAGGAATTTTTCATCAGAAATTCATTTTTGGAAAGAACTGCGATACATACATACTACATTTTAAGTACACGTCTATCGCACTTTTTCTGTTATTTCTGTTTTTCGAATCAACCTGTAGAGTAAGCGGTGACATAGTATGAAATCTTTCATCAAAACAGAGCAAGGCTTACGCGCAAAAAGGAAAATACATCTCTGCTTTGTGAAAAAATATTAAGAGGGGATAAATATCTCATTGATTAATTTGTTTGTCCTTCAGTCATATAGTTGTATGAATGATTACCAACACAATTTCCCCACCCGAATTTTTTTATCAGTAGCATGGAGTTTTTGTATAAATATCCTCTTGATTATGTGCATAATGTTATAAGAACTTTGTCAATACATTTGTAAAGAAATTATTCATAACAATTGATAGGACTTCTATATATTTATACACAAACAAAATTTTGTTCAAATTAAATTTGAAATAACCTCTTAACCTTTGCATCAATTTCGTTAATTTTTTCGTCAAGTTGTAGCTAACATCATTATCATCATTATCGACTGCCGATCTTGCAAAAAATTGAAAATGTTTGTTGTTATAGTGTAACAAAGAGGTGCATTTTCCCTAAACTTCTGAACACCCTATGGAAACATTAGATTACTAAATAATGTGTCTCCGTATGAGAAGTTTAAGCCTAAACTTTTCTCAACAGTTCTTTTTTTGATTCATGTCAATATATCAATTATTGAAGAATATACGCTGTTTTGAAGAAAATCATGCGAATCATAGCCATAAACAATTTAATTTAAAAAATTACAGTAACAACATTCGTAAAAAACTATGCGAATCATAACCATAAGCAATCTAACTTAAAAAATTACAGTAACATCATTGGTAATTAGTAACTGTTATCAAAAACGAGTATTTCCTCCCCGAGCTTGAATAACAGCTCTCATCCTCTCTGGCATAGACTCAACAAACCAACTATTGTGTCTTGTGGTATTTGCTCCAACTTGTTTACCAGCGCCTGTTCCACCGCAACCACAGTTTGAAATTCTCCATAGTTCTGCCTAACCCTTCTTCCTAATGTATACCACATCTGTGCGAGATTCCAAAGAAGTACTGCCCTATAACATTAGTCCTCCACCTCCAAATTGCACTCTAGGAGCGAAACAAAGCTGTAGCAGGAATTGTCCTTTCTCGAAGAGCTTCTAGTCTGAGAAACCGATCTTCAGCTGCGTTTGTTGCTTTCCGTCTTCCCTGAGCAGGTCTTCTTGAGTAACAACCAGTTTCTCTAAATCTTTACATCGCATCGAATACCATTCTGCGATATACCGAATAGGACTACCATCATCTTGTAAAGCTACAGCTTGCGCTACTTGTTCCGGTATCATTTTTATTGAGTATTGCTTGACAGGAGTCTTTTTGACATGCCATAGAAATTCTAACTTGAAACAATTTCTTACCCGGCAAAGCCTGCTTGAAACAATTTCTTGTTTATGGCTATAATTCGCATGATTTTCTTCAAAACAGCATGTATTCTTCAATAATTGTGATATTGACATGAATAAAAAAAAACTGTTGACAAAAGTTTAGGCTTAAACTTCGCATATGAGCGAGACATATTATTCAGTAATCAAATGTTTCCACCGGGTGTTCAGAAATTTAGGGCAAAATGCACCTTTTAGTTTTAGTTTTAACAAAAAATATTTTAATTTTTTTTTGCAAGATCGGCAGTCTATAATGATGATAATGATGCTACAACTTGACGAAAAAATTAACGAAATTGATGCTAAGGTTAAAAAGTTATTTCAAATTTGATTTGATAAAGATTTTGTTTGACCGGTTAATTTTGTGAGTTAGTGTATATGTATATTGGTAAAGCCTACGGACGCAACTGTCTCAATGAACAGTTTCGATAAAATCCATATCAAAAGCTACTGGTACACAGATTGGAAACTGAACATGAAGTTGAAGCGAGGATTTATGGGACAAAGCCAAAAACGGAGATCTATATAAGTATAGTTAATATGGCAACAATATTTCAATAATCAATAAAAGTGTGCGCAAAAGAGATAATAAGGACTGAAACTGTAAATGAGTCGATCGCCATCTGCTCAGACAGACAGGCAGCCGTGAGGCATTAAGTGCATTGAAAATATCATCTAATCTAGTAGAGAATTGCGTGAATACTCTCAAAGAGCTGGGAAAGGTAACATTGTTCTGGATACCTGGGCATGAAGGGTACAAAAGAAATGAGAAGACAGAGGAGCTAGCCCAACAGGGTACGCTCAATCGCCATATAGGTCCCAGAACATTTCTTTAGCATGACGAGAGCACGCATCAAACAATCTATAAGAAATTGGACCAAGAAAACGTCCGTAGAATGGTGAAAGACACAGTCGGGCCAAAGGTAGGCAAAAGTGTTCAACAAAGAACGAAAACCTGCATTTACAGAGGACCTATTCGGGTGTGATAGAGATGCCATAAGGGTAACAGTGGGTTTCCTAACACACCGCTGTAGTCTAAACCGACGTATGAGGCAGTTAGGTCTGTCAGAAAAGGCCACTGCAAACGCCTGGCAGGGCTACGGTTTCAGATATTAGGAATCGCAAATCCAACAACAGAAATCTGTGTCAAAGCTACAAAGTCTAGTTAAAGGATCAAGGCTGGACACAGTGCTTTAGAGTCTATATGGAGATTACAATAGACCCATATGGGATATCGTGGCGTTAAAGCTAGTTAGCCAGCCTCTTTTCTGTAATCTGTAATTTGTGATCTGTAATCTGTATCCAACCACTGCATAGCAGAAGCTACAGATTTTTCTGTTTTAATTTACTCAAAATCATTGCTAGGCATCCTAAATAAGTTGTATTCTTGAAAAAGAACTTCCGAAATACTGAGCCTGTGAAAATTTAAAATTAAAGAATGAGTCTGCCGCGGTTAGTTCAATTATGTTTATTTTCTGTTCTATGTTACTAATTTGAAAAAACTTCTACAATTAAATCACAATATTTGAATTTCATAGATGTGTATTATTTTTGTAAGCAACTAATAGTTATTTTCCTAACAAGTGAGGAAAGTCATTCTGTTCCACGTCGTTCGACCGGCAATCGAGAGCGGAAATGACAATTTCCACAAGAGTTAGGAAGAGCATTTTTTCTGCAAGCGCGTAACAAGACATCAATATACTATAACAACTGAAATCATATACCTTAATAAATTTATTATTTTATGTTGAAAATGACATACTGTAAAAAATAATAGCGTAAACCTGGTAGAAAAAATTCTTTTTGCGTGTTTTAAACTACAACACAATATGACAACCTCATAAGAACTAGTTGTAATCCACCTAACCTATGTCTCTATGCCAATGTTGTAAACTCTATTACCATTATTTGTTGCGATACTTGCCAAAACTTTAATAACTTCCCCTCTCAACGATGTATCGAACCTTCCGCAGCATCCCCACACAGAAGGGGATGAACGAAATTTTGCACTTGCGCCCTGGCACAATGCCGCGGTAGGCAAACCTGAAATGTAGTGTGGTACATCGCTCTTCGGGCTCTATTTATATCACTCCGATGTCTTTCATAGAAACTTTTTAAGAAATCGATAGAAAACATGTCAAACGGACCTCTATTTCTCGCAGATAATGTGTACGAAAACATACCAGGTGAAAGGATTTTTGTTTTGCGGTGCTAGTGATGTGAGAAATAGTGCCCTCAGAGATGATCTACATCCTTGTGGGTATCTGCTTGCCTTTTCTGCTGCCGTCAGTTTGTAGGTAAACAAGTTTTTCTGCTGGTCAAATCCACGCTATGGTGGAAGCATCAAAGTTGAAGAGTTATTATGTAAATTAGCTGTTAGAGTATGAATAAACTTCTTTTGCATATACTGCCGTTCTTAGGTAAAACAATCTGAGAAAATCGAGTTCAAGATTTTGGATGTTTTCTCATTAAATATTATTAGTATCATTACGACACAACAAAGTGAGCGAATATTGCATAGCTACGAGTTTATATACACTCGTTTAAATGTGATTTCAGATCATAGTTGTTGTCAAGACCTAAAATAAATGACCTTCCGTTTTTAATTGTCGTATATCATAAAACAGTAACATGTGATTTACTGCTTTAATACTCTGCCGCAACAAATTTACTGCTTTGTTTTCGAAGTATCCATAGTCTATTTATATTATTATTTCTGACTATATGATGAATACTGACGTAGAGTTTTATTTTAATATAATTAATTAGTATTGAAGCACACATGAATAGCGTATTAAAAGTAAATATTTTCAACATCAGATAATTCCATTTAGTAACTATATAATTACATTTACTAATTACATTCCATAAAAATAATTATATAAATAAACTAAAAACAGCATGTTATATTATATTTTAAGTTAAACAAATAGTATTTTCAAAATTATTCTTTCACAGCAAAAGGAATTATTTATAACGATATTGACTTATTCACAAATAACAGAATTATAACATGAAAGTAATTAAATAAGTAAACATCATAATATGTTATAAACCTTTTACCTAAGTTTGTTAGTATAGAAAAAATTAAGACAGTATCGGCATATATACAATAAGTACCACGACAAACTTAAGGAGAAGGTAGGCTTTGAACTGACCTCCCAAATAACAAAAACGCACGTATATAAAAGTGTCACCGTTTTTAAGATATTGCATTTCTTCTTAAATTAAAAAAAAACGAACCTTTTCACCTGTGGCCTTTAGCTGCATGTACAAATGAGGTTATACTTTGTTTATTTTTTCTATAAAATACTTCTAGATAGTTGCCTTATCATATACAAATGCAATGTAGTCAAAAGATATTAAGAAACCATGATAAAATAAAGACTGTTTTGGGATTTATAACCTTCTGATATTGTTTCCTCAACTTTCTTAAAATCATACCAACAGCAGGTAATAATAATATATCTTTGTACTATTTAGCATGTCATTGATCGGTAACCAGTGCAACTTTAATTTGAATCCAATAATTATATTGTAGTGTGTGTCAGTCACTTTCAAAAACAGTTATCACTTTTTTCTATTCCAAATAGTACGTATGGTGCCTTTCTGAAATCTGTATTCAATAAACAATCCTTTTATTCAATATAATGCAGTTATATATGTAGTACAGTACATTTTTGTTTCACCACAGATGGTCAAAGTTGAGGAAAAAATATCAGAAGGTTATAAATCCTAAAATAGTCCGTATTTGATCATAGTTCCTTAATATCTTTTAATTACATTGCATTTGTATATGATAAAGCAATTATCTAGAAGTATTTTATAGAATAAATGAACACAGCGTAAGCTTATTTGTACATGCAGCTGAAGACCACAGATGAAAATGTTTGTTTTTTAAGAATTTAAGAAAAAAATCAATATCTCTAAAACGGTGACATTTTTATCAAGGCAAGTTTTTGTTATTTGCGAAGTCAGTCCAAAGCCTACCTTCTCCTTGAGTTTGTCGTGATACTTATTGGACACCCTGTAGATACAGGGTAGCCCATCCATGTGTGGACGGAACATTACTCATAAACCAAATACATATTGGGTGAATCTATTTATATCATGTTATACATGACATTTTAGGGCACATTTCTAAAATATTGGCCATTATACAGGGTGTCCCAATCTCGACCTACATATCAAAGTTGTGATTTTTCAAATAGAATGCCTCAAATTTAATTGCATATTTGGATAAACCAATTCAAAAGATGAAGATTGACATAAGATACTTGGGGTTTTGGTAATTAGCTACTGAGATGTAAGGTGTTTTGTCCAGAAGAACCGTCCACTTCGGCAACCCCTCAATCCGTCATTTTGAAATTTGGAGAGCTGAATTTTGTATCAAAAAAAAAAACTTACACACCTCAGCTTTTATCTCATTTGTTACTTTTTTGAATTTTCGTGTTTGCTCGTACAGGGTGGTCAAAAACGCGAAGCTTTTTTTTGCTTTCAGGTTTGATTCAGATAAAAACACTAGATTTTGAGTTATTAAGCTTTTAAAAGAACAACACACCAAAATTAAGGAAAAAATCACATCATCCATGGAAACAAAAGACAAATCATGGGCTAGTTCCATATTGCCACTAAGAGTACAGATTTGACAGAAGTTCTGCATATATAAGTTTCTGCTCCAATTTGGCATGCACCTAAATGGGGATTTTCCTGCTACTTTAATAGAACTTCCAACTGATTCGCCTCATAGGTGACACTTGGATTACTTATGCACACTGCTCCACTTGATTCAAAACATTCTGGTAGTGTGGAAAATGTTTCCGGCCTTGAATGTCACATACTAGGGTACCATTGCTTATAAATGCGAGATGCTAGGAAACTATTTCTTTGGGCATCGTCCATATTCACGATTTCTTCTTTAGAAAAATTCATTTTCAAATACGTTTTTATTAATATTCTCACAAAGCTTATTTTGACAGTTTGTAACTAATCAACAATTTATTTGTTTCCACGGATGATGCGATATTTTAGGGAATTAAGCCGTGCTAATAACTGAAAAAATAGCCGTCAAAACCCTTATGTGTCTAGTGTAAAAAAAAGATTATAAAAAAGTGAATCCAGACTGGTACAAATATATAGGGTGATGCATTTGAAATTTTTGAGAAAAACTACAATTTACGTTTTTGATCACCCCGTATGGGCAAAAATTAAAATTCGAAAAAGTAACAAATGAGATAAAGGCTGAGGTGTTTAAGTTTTCTTTGACATAAAATTCAGCACTCCAAATTTCAAAATGGCGGACTGAGGGGTTGCCGAAGTGGGAGGTTTTTCTAGACAAAACACCTTATATCTCAGTAGCTAATTACCAAATCCTCATAGTATGTTACATCAATTTTCATCTTTTGAATTGGTTTATCCAAATATGCATTAAAATTTGAGGCATTCTATTTGAAAAATAGGTCGAAATTGGGACACCCTGTATAATGGCCAATATTTTAGAAATGTGCCCTCAAATGTCATGTATAACATCTCATAAATAGATTTTCCCACAATGTATTTGTTTATGAGTAATATTCCGTCCACACATGGATGGGCCACCCTGTATATATACTAAGTTTCTGTAAAACTCCGACATTTCAACCAATTTTTTTGATAAAGTAGGTCTATGTACAATAATAACACACACCATTTACGATTTCAGTGACCAGTTTAGTATGAAACTATATGTTAACTTTTGATTTTTCTTATTTGAGTCTCAAACATAGTCAAAAATTACGAAAAGCATACAAAATAGTGAACAAAAAGCTTGGTACACAATGCTGTTTCCTGCAAGATTGCGCTAAAATTATGGTGAAAGAGCAGCAAACTCTGCTAAGCTCTGGGTATTCAAATCGTCATGATCCGATAACTACTAAGGGAAGTGGAGCGAATCAGTTTCTATACTATTGGTGATTTTTGAAAGTCTGAACTTTGGGGTCCCCAAAAAGCAATTGCAAAAGTTAATGTTGTTTGAAGATGAAATAGAGGTATTAAGATAGTAGGTAGTTACATTCACCATTTCATCGAATATTAATATGGCTCGCCAGTGGTGCGGTTGCGGACTTTTCAAAAAAAATATTTTTTTTTAGAAGATTCCAGATGTTCACAATTTCACAGTTACATTTTCTACTATTTGTTTTTTGCGCTAATATAAGTTAGAATTCTTTAAATACAAAAGATAAGTAATCAAGGTCTATTATTAGACGTAAAAACATGAAATCCTCGGAACCCTTTATTAAAAGCCTTACTGATTTTTTATTGTTTTTAATTTTTAAGCTGGTAGATATCATTTAATTAAACAGAAAAGTTCAATGTCGTCATTGAAATACAGGGTATTCAAATTCATTTTTGATAATACTGGTATTTTGAATCCCTTTTAAATTCTGCTGCTTATGAACTAGTAACTACAGAGTTATTATCTAAAGAAAGCCGCCAAAAAATGCATCTTCCAGAATTAGGCAAAAATGTAGGATTGTCCTAAATATCATCAGGAGACGAGGAAATCGGAAAAACTCACAGATATTGGATACAGGCAGCAGTGGTGGCGTAGTGATAGACATTATGGGTCTACTAATCAGTCGCCGTGCGCTGCGCGGGTTCGAATCCCGTGCCAAGAGAATTTTCCTGTTGGCTATAGATGTTGTGATTATCCGTGGTAGACATTCTCTGACTGTTTAACGCGGAAGTACCACCCTCCTATAGCCCCACGGAACCCCATGGGTGTTTAGTCCTTAGACATTCGTAGTAGTTGGAATATAAAAAATTAATATTTACTATACAAATACTGGAATGTATTTGAGTTCATATGGATCAAAATCTGTGAGTTCTATTCTTTTTTCATGAATCCTGCTTTATTTCTATGATTTCCACATTTGGTTGATTTTAATAGCTACCCTGAAAATGTTTTTCAGTACCCGAGTGGAAACATTTTTCTATCTTAAAGCTCCTTGACCATACCCACAAAGAAGCCAATGAATTGCTTAATTGAAATTCGAAGTACTCGGTTCAAATGTGATAGAGCTGCACCTAGTGTGTATCAGTTGGATAAAATAATTGATTAACGTATTCTACCTGACGATAGCCAACCTAATACTATATTCCCGCCTCAAAAAAAAATCCGAGGAAGAAATGAGATAGCGTAACGTCATCTGTGAAAATTCGGCACAGCTGTCCTTCTTCTTTTCTCACTAACTAGGAGCCTACTTTAAAAAAGTTAGTGTCTCATCTATTGAACATCAATATTTTCAAGGAAGATTTC